CCCCAAAACCCCAAAACCCCAAAACCCCTTTTGTTCCAAAATTTATTGAAAATTTGGAGTGAACATTTTTATTCTTCCAATTTCAAAAATAATAAATTAGTAGCTTATCTCCCTGTATTAGTAAGGAACTTATCATTAGGAGTATCTTCCAACTAAACCACCAGCTTAGCAAACTTTTGTGGTTAATTTTTTATAAATTTTACAGAAATTTTCAGACTGGTTTACATTCTATAGCTTAAAATTTTTGTGTTGAAGAAATAGTATAGAAAACAGTTTAGAATTTATGTGAAAAATGAGTTATTCAGAAGATGTTCTGGCCCACTTGCATCTCTGTTCGGGAACACATGGTCATAAGTGGTGATGTTTAAGGGATTGCTCCTTTTGCTCATAGAAATTTGTTTATTCTTATTCTTCGGTTTCCGCTTTCTTGAATTACTATTTTTGGTTAAATATACACTCTTTACCTCTGTAAGCTAGACCGCAAAGTTAGAAGTCGTGATCGGCCTAGAGTTGAGCAAGACAATACCTCTTATAGTGAATCCAATACTATTCCTATTTCGCTTGTGTCTGATTATTTTTGTTAAAGTTTGAGACATCTTTTCTGTAGAATGATCTAGAAAATCCATCTAGATTAAGGATAATTTAACTAAGCCAATACTGATTTCTTAAAATTAATTCTTGGAGGCTCATCTTCTTCCTTATTTCTCACTAGCTTCAGAGACAGGAAGAGTATTGAAACTCTTGTTCCATATTAATTTACTTTGCCGTCTTGAACTTTTCTTCTTAATTAACTTATTTTTACTAAAAAGGGCTTCTTTCATCCTGGCTTTATTATCCTCCTATTCCTAGAATGCTCAACCTTACTGCTGTTTGGATCATTCTCTTGTGTCGATTGATTTCGTATAGAGACATTACCTTATCTATATAAAAATCTTTAACAAGAATTTACTCTGCTTCTTTCGTAGTTTCTCTAACATCCGTTGTTTATTTAAGCTTGAGCTTCTCCATGCGGATCTTCTCTAACACTATTTGTTGCATCCACAAAGCATACCTTTTTCTTGGTCTTCTTGGTTCCTGGTATTGGAAAAATACGTTTTTATTGGTCCATTATACCTCCAGAATTTTTTCTTAGAGTTATTTAAGCTTATAAGGCTTTTTAAAAGTTCTCTTTAATTCATAGTAGTAATTTTCATCACAAATTAACTGTAATAAGAGTTTTATTTCATTTTCTTTAGTAGGGTCTCATTCCTGGATAAGAGGGTATACTAATTCTTGGAACGTAAATTCTTTGAAAGTAGTAAATTTATCCATTAGCATAAACTTCTTGCTGGGAGTTCGATGGCCTCCCTTAGACTGCTCTTTATATTTAGTCTTTCAATTTCGAATTGTCTCCAGGATCTTCTTCTTGCAATGATTTGTTAAGATTATTTTTGAAAGTGCATTTGAATCAGAATCATCTTGGATATATCTCAACATCTGCCTCCACATTTTTGAATGCTGAGAGGTATGGCCCTCCTTCTGCTTGTAATCAATAGGGATAAATTGAGATGATTTAGAAATTCCAATGATGCTATACTTCTCACAGATCTAGAACAATGAGCCAGAAATTACCTTTTCAATATCTGAACTTGACACAAAGATCTGCTTTTGATCAGGAGTATCGAAATCATTATGCTTCCTTGTTCCTTCCTTAATTTTTGAATCGTGACTTATATTCCTTTTCCGGTAGTCAATAATTAAAGATGGACCTAGATGAGTTCTTTCCAAGAGAGTTTTAGATTTTTCAAACATTTTCTATATAAATTACTAATTCTGATCTTACAAAGAAAGCTTACATAAAATCTAGGAGTTCTGGGGTTTTCTCTAGCCTTCTGGATATCAATGGAAAGGTGGTCCAAAGTAGCTCTCTTAGACATTTTAATATATAATAATTGGGGTTTTGGGGTTTTGGGGTTTTGGGG